ACCTTGTGCCATGGGCCTCATAGCTTTTGTGGTGCGAGATCCTTGATCTGGCCAGAGGGTTGATGGTGTCATTTCAACACATCTACCAGGAAACAAATGATTAGGCTGATGCTTTAACCAAGAGAGGAGTGCATTTGTCTTTTAGATCAATAAAGTTATTAACATTGGTAAAAATAAAATAAAATAGAGTGAATATGATGCAGACAATGGGACTTAATGGTAGATTCCATAGTGTGGTATATCAACTAAATCGATGTTGAGCAAAAAGGCGATAACTCTTGTGTGAATACATAATAATTGCACTAAAATTTTCATTTTATGCAATAATAGCCTATTGAATTTCAATACTTGTGGTATAATGCATCTCTTCTCAGGATTCCTTTTAAAGCGTTTAGATTGGATAAGTTTATGGTGCACACTAGATGCATTTCTATTTTGCAGCTCAAAAAATTGTATTAATTTGATGACCTGCTAAAATTTTGAAAAGTAAACAACCCAAAATTTAAGTCTAAAATATTTCTTTTAAGCTTTATAATTCATCATTTCATGTTCATGATCATGATAGTCAAGATTATCGACTTGTAAAATTTTAAACTAAAAAAATATATCCTAAAGAAGCTTTTTAAAAGAGATTATATTTGAATAAATATGTTGGTTGACACACCAAAATTGATTATAATTAAAGAGGAAACATAAGTGGTTGCTACTTTAGTGGTAGTGTCCGACCCAATTGTTGGGCTCACCCGTTCGAGTACTCTCAAATAATGCGCAGGCGGGCAATGGAAACTAGATTTTATAAGACAAAAACGCCAAATACGTGGGTATGAGTGAGAAAATGTATAATAAAATAGATAAATAAATAATAATTCATTGGATCCGAAATTTATGTTGTTCATCTTTTCAGACTACAACCATAGGTAAAAGAGATGAAAATCCGTTAGAAATAATAGAGTACAATTTTTCTTCCAAAAGGACAGTTTTCTCTTGAGCTACAACTCTCTTGGATTTCTACGGGAGGCTTTTCTCTCTCAAGGTTTTTTTCTCTTTGGTTTTTGTTTCTTCAAGAAGGTCCTTCTCCATTTAGGATTATCTTCAGGGTCTTCTCTCTATTTGAGCACCTTCTCAATATACTTTCCTTGTAAGGGTGTGGTTTCCATAAGGTTGCAACCTTAAACAATCCACTTAAGGCACACCTTCAAATTTTCTCATAACATATAATTCTGATATAAACTATTCTTAGGATTATCTCAAAATCTATTTTCCTATCTAATTATAAAAGTTTAAACTTTAAAAATAGTTAAAATCCAGTAGATCTATAAACATATGAAAGCGTTGAAAATGGACAGTCTAGATATTGTGTTGTAAGATGCACTATTTATGGGACTCAAAATCTTTTTTTTCTTTCATAGTCATACATCTCGATGTTGAGATGATCAATTAGAGGATTTTTCAACATGGAAAAAGTTTATATAAGGTTGCAACCTTAAAATGTAGAATTACAAATGCACCTCAAAAATCTATTGGAAAGGTTGTTTTAATGTTGAAAAATCTTGTATTTGATCATCTCGACATCGAGATGTATGAATATATAAAAAACAAAGTTTGTTAGTCTCATAAATAATGCACCTTGCAACGCATTCTCTAGGCCATCCATTTTCAAGATTTTCATATGTTTATAGATCTCCTTGATTTTAACTATTTTTGGAGTTTAAAATTTTCTAATTAGATATGAAAATAGATTTTAAGATAATGTTAAGAATTTTTTACAACAAAATTACATGTTATGATAAAATTTGGAGGTGCGCCTTAATTGAATTGTTTAAAGTTGCAACCTTATAGAAACCGTAACCTTTCAACATTAAAACAACCTTTTCCAATGGATTTTTTAGGTGCATCCAAAGTTCTACATTTTAAAGTTGCAGCCTTGTATAAACTTTTTACTTCTTGTAATAATGATAGCATCTGAGCCTTCAGGTTACGAGAGATCTTTATGCCCAATATCAATTAAGTATGTCCTAAGCTCTTCTTGGGAAAGTCCAGCATGCAACGGGGGAAGCGATTCCACATGAGCATCTCTCGATGCATCAAACATCCATCTATAAATATTATGGGGCTGCCAAAATTTGAAATTGTTAGTCCTGACAACACATCAATTAATATTATTTTTATTTTAAATATTAATTTATTTTTATATTCATGTTTACCATGATAAAGATTCTTAACTCTTAAATTTTAGATCCAAAATCTATCTCTAAGATGAATTTTGGATGAAGGACTCATGTAAATAGATGAATCGGGGGACTTTACATAACCTTGTCCTTTAAGGTTCGTTTTATTTATAAATGCACAATCAATTATAGAGCGGGGAATGTTAGATTCGTAAGTATTGTAAAAAGATATTTTCTAAGGTAAATTCACTATAAGTATTGTAAAACGACATTTTATAAGGTAAACTCACTTGGGACATTGAGAGACTGTATATTCTCCCAATCTTTTATATTTTAAAAATTTTGTAGTTGATTTTGCGTTATTTCTCCCTTTTATGTTAAGCGGTATTATATAATTGAAACCCATGGTCCGACCTAGAGAACGATGTAGACTAGGTGAGAGAGAGAGAGAGAGCTATTATTCCCAAGGGATTGTAAGAGAAATGGTCAAAATATCAATTAAGAGATTGAAACCCCTTATAAAATATTGAAGAGGTCAAAAGATCAACTACATTTGATGTTTTGGTTTTAAGTTTCTATTTCAATCAGATATGTCCTCAAAAAAAAATTATTTTCTAATTACCCTTGTTCGGTTTTAGGAAGCCCGAACAATTGACAGTGGTAATTTTACCACTAAGGAGGCTTTAACAGAATGATAAAAATATCATTGCTTGTTCTGGGGATAGAAATAATGAACAACTTATTTAGCATTTGAAACGATGAACAAAAAGGGCTATTTATGTAATTCAACATGTTTGGCATTTGAAATGAGGAACAATAAGGAGCATTTATATCATTTGACATAGATATATACCAAATGATATAGATACCTCTTATTGTTCCTTATTTCAAATATCGTACCAGTTGTTTGTTACCTATAAATTGGAACAAGTAGGGGTACTCTTGCTATTTTGTTAAGGCCTCTCAAGGGTGAATTTATTAAGCGTCTCTAATTGTTTGGGTTTCCTAACACTGAAATAGGGGCAATATGGGAAAATTTTCATTTTTTTAGGGTGTACTTTATTGGAATAGAAATTTAAAATCATACCTTAAAATATAATTTCTGATTTTTTTTTGTGATATTTTAACTTTTTAATGATTTTGTGAGGGGTTTTAACTATTTAATCCACATTTTCCTAATAATCAATTTATCATAATCATCCAAGCCTTCTAATCATCGATTAGGAGATACAAATAAAGGAAAAAGTTAAAAAAGGCCTAGGCCTTATAGAAAAAAGTAAAGCTGCATCTCAAATATCATTGAAAATTGTAGCTTTAGTGTCAAAAAATTTCAAATCGAACATCGAGACCCCAACTATAATGGGTAATAATAAAGAAAAAAGATTTCAAGTCTAAAAGACTAATGTATACTATAACACATTATCTAGATCATCCATTTTCAAGTGTTCATGGATCCAAGAGACTTATCTCGTATTTTGAGCTCCGAAATTTGTAATTGGTGATGGAATTTTTTAGAGCTATAATAAAGGTCTTCGAAATTTGTAATTGGTGATGGAATTTTTAGAGCTATAATAGAGGTCTTCTATTCCTTGAGTGTTTCTTAGATGAGTTTTTTAAGGGCGTGTTTGATTTCTAAAACACATAGTTTTAGAAAATTGTGCTGCAATACTCCAAACTGCATCTTCTAGAAATCAAATACTCCTAAAATGTTTTTGATATTGGAAAACCCTCAAACTGGTCATCTTGATTTCAATATGAAAAAAAAAAAAAAAATCAAATCTTAAAAATAATGCATCTTATAAAAAGTTATATGGGTTGTCTATTTTTATGATTTTTAGGCATTTATATATCTACTCAATCTATACTAATTTTAAATGGAAAGCTTTACATGTGACCTCACTCACATATATGCTCTTTGCTATCAATTGTCATATCAGAAATGTAAATGGCCAAGATGGCTTGAGTCACAATGTAACAAATTGGTTGTCGAGTTTCATAATCTTGAATCAACAGCCTATAGTATTTTATTTTTAATATTTATTTTATAAATTATTTTACAGTGAAATTTGGGGCATCTATACATCTGACGGGGAATACATGGAAATAATAATTAATGTTATAAAAATTACTAAAATACCCCTAAAACCTATGGGCATTTTGGTTATTTACTTTATTGCGATTTTTTTCCTTTTCGTTTTTATTAGTTGTGCCCCCAATAATATCATGAGACACCCCAAATTTCTCTTAAAAAGGCTATGTAGAAAAAAATAAATAAAAATCAACACTATTTTATGTGAAATTGTAACATGAGAAACTCTAGCCGTCCATTCAAATAGAGTGGCTGAAAAATAGGGTCACATATAATTTATATGTGGGTCGGGTTATATAAAAAGTTTTACAATTTTTAAAAGGAAAAAGTTTATATAAGGTTGTAAATGTGCACATAAAAAATCTATCAGAAAAAAAAAACATTTATTTGATTATCTCGACCTCAAAATGTATAAAAAAAAAGAAGAGATTTTGACTCCAAAAGTAGTTCGGCTTGCAATACATTATCTTGGCCGTCAATTTTCAAGATTTCTACATGTTTATAAATCTACTTTATTTAAATTAGCTATGGAGTTTAAAATTTTATAATTAAAAATGAAAATAAATTATTCGACCCTCCTAAAAACATTTTCCTCTAAAATTACTTGTTAAGATAAATTTGAAGAGAACAAACTCATGCATTAAAGCTAAGAGTTGATTAGAGTGGTGATGTCGTATTGTCTCGACTCTCGAAGGATTAATTAATGGAAAGACGGATTAAGTCCATGAAGAAAGAGAAATGGAAACTGATAATCAACCATTGGATATAAAACTTTGCAGCATTTCACAAGCCCAGGAGTAATGGCGACTCTAGCTTTCTCACTATCATTTTCCTATCCAACGTCGCCTCTAAACCCTAAAAGCTCTAATTCTATCATTTCTGTATCTAATCACATCAAGAGCCCTAATGTTCTTCGTCTCTCTAACCATTCTAGGAACACAGAGCAGAAGGAACTCGGGTGTCTGAAACACCATCTCCTTGTTTGCCTCACCTGCTCATCTTTATTGTTCTCATCTCCTGAACCCCTAACCCTAATTTATCCATTTATTGGTTTCATCGACAATGCAGAAGCTCGAGGACTATTTCAGATGCCCCCTGTTCGCCTGAACAACAGGTGAGGTGATTGGGGTTTCGTTATGGATTATCGTTGGAGTGCAAATGATAGGTGAGAGAACTAGGGTTTTATTATGGATTTGGCAAAAGCCTGAAAAAAGGTTTGGGAAAATTTATCTCCTCATTGTGTCTTTTTCAGTTGAAATACCAGTCCATTGTCGCTGGCTCTCTCAATGTTGATCTCCTGATTTTTAAACTTCAAATCAATTTTGTGCAGCAGTCGCCAAGGTATTTTTTCAGTCATTGGATATACCATGAATTATTGCCAGAGCCACAAAACTAGGAAATGTACAGTTTTGTAAATATTTTGAGCTAAATTTTAGTTCAAATTCTACATATTTTGGAAGCTAGCTCCATCCTGAAATTCATCAAGTTTAAAGAAACTCATGGTTTGTCTCGATTCTCGAATTAGATTAGCTCCATTCCCAGCTTTCTCTTATGTAAAAGCATTGAGAGCAATGATCGAGAACTTGGCCGAGTTGATTGGACTCGCTCCTTGCCCAGCCGAGTACTCGGTGCAACTGGGGCCACTTAAAAAGAATTAAAAAATCATGAAAAATATAAAATGTGGATTGATTTTGCGAAAATTAAACATGTAATTTGGATATTTTATTACAATGATTTGTGAGTTTTCCTTGTAATATGTGCTATTTTTATATTTTCCTCTTTTTTTTTAGATTTGTCTAAAATGTTTCCAACCATAAGTCAATTTTTTTTCTAAATCTATGTTTAATATACTTATTTTAGTTTTTTGGGACTTTTTATGCTGCCTTTGGTTTCGTTTCACTTAACAATTTTTATTTTATTTTTAAACATTTTTTTTAAAAAAATTTAGGGCCTTTTGGGCCCTTCACACTACTCAGATGAGTCCGCTCGGACTCAGCCGAGTTACTCGCATCAGGTCAGGGTCGAATCCAAGGCCCAAGGCCAGTTGAAAAACACTGATTGAGAGAAATCAATCAAAGGTGTAATGGGGTTCCGTAGGACTATGGTGTAATGGGGTTCCCTAGGACTATGGACTGTGTTAAAAGGATTGAGTTTTATTTTGTGCAGGTTCTTTCTAGTTAGGGCTGGAGAGTCAGAAATGGAGAGCAAAGGGATTGTGTGCACGAACCCAGTTTCAAAGACCTCAGTTGATAGTGGTCTCTCAGAAGAAGGGAAGAAACAAAGTGTAGACCCCTGCTGCTTTTGCTTTGAAGGAGATGGGGGCCTGCGAAGGCAATTGTTGGATATGGCCATCAATCACCCAAAGATCATACCAGGCTGCAGAGATCATAGCCTCTGTTAATGAAGTCAATCGTAGGTTGGTAGTGCTCGGAAGTCTGAAATGTTTACTGTTTCTGTTGGTTTTTTTGTTGATGCTTTATTATCTATACTTTTTTTGTCATGTAACTCATGGAAGCTTATACATCTAATAATCTATCCAGCTATCAAGTGTTAGGAAAAATTGTATCTTTCTTGTACCTCATAATATAAAAATTCCTTTGAAGTTAAATTTTTAGGTGATGTTCTGTCTTCTTGATCTTTTCTTGCCGTAGTGCGTTGCCACTATTTGGTGTAGCCTGTGTGCGGACTAATGTTTTGCTTCTTGTTCTGATGCTTTTACTTGCTGTAGAAATCTGGGCATCGTGTGATTTTGTCCAAAATTTTCACCTCCTTGATTCTCTTCGATAATAGTAACATTTGGAGTTCTTAACTTCCACGAGCCCCTCCTTGATTTATCTTTCTCTTACTCTTTCAGTCATATAGTTCCTGAGTATAGCTTCTTGGATGCTCGTGCTTTTGGAGCATATGAAGGAAGGAAATTGGAATCTCTAAATGAGGTGAGTTTTTAGATCCTATAAATTATGGGACTCTAGAAGTTGGTAACATGGTTGGAGATGACTAAGTATAAACAGTAGTACTTTAGAATCCATAACTAAAGACATCAAGGCCTGAAAACTTTAGAGTTTCTTGAAATTCTCCTTTTGTCACTGAAAACTCCTAAATGTTCAGACGAGGGTGCCGAAACAGACCGCATTCAGTACATTTGATAATTAGACAAGTACTATTTTGCTTATTGTTGGATATGAGCGCTTATAGGTAAAGAGAAATTCATGGGAATATTGAATTGCTGATAATGAACAACTAACTGGGGTATATTGTTATGTGGTATTAACTGTTTGGCCTAAGAAAACGAGCGATGCAATGGACCAGATATGTTATCCATCAAAAAAAAAAAAACCGGAAACCAAAAAAAAGAATGCAACATACTGGTTGCTATGGTCGCTTGGCATGAATATGAATTACTCTGAAGTAATTTAGTACCCACAAATTGATTTTAGTTGTAAATAGCTTGTGGGATAAGAGAAGCTCCCCAATAAGGGTTCTATAACCGTTAAAACCAGATGCAGAGGAAGTAGTGGTCACCAAGCATTAAAAAATGTGTGGAACCCACAAGGAAGTTGCATTATTGTAATTAATGGCAGATTTTTGAAAAATGTGAATCATCCTTAATTCTATAATTGAGCATCAATGATAAACATCAAGCAAAATGTGTTATTTCTCGTCAAGTGTCACCTATAAGTTCTGTATTTTTTCTTATTTGTAATATTGCATCCTTATCCAAAGTCTATGTACCAAAATAGTTCTTAACCAGTGACAGTGCTTCTCTCTCTCTCTCTTTCTCGCCCTCTGTGTTTCATCTCCCCTCTCTAGATTCACACGAGATGTGTTTTCTTTTTATTTAGTATATTCTGGGTTGCATTTTTCTCATCTGCTGGAATATCAAATTGAAAAGATTGGCAGGTTTATGAGTCAGACCGTATCTCTCCTCGTGTGAGGCCACCTCCTGTGGACAATGGGACACCAAATGAAAGCGTCGAGGACGTGTTTGTTCGTGTAACACAACTCATGTCCATCATAGAGACACAATACTCGGGTGACAACATAATAATCGTGTCCCCAGATTCTGATAACTTGACAGTTCTCCAGGCCGGCTTGATTGGGCTTGATCTTCGCAGGTAAAATATTATAAATTTATTTTTTACACATGTTACATGTGAAAATTTTGGTTCTTTTACCAAGATGCCTCTTGTTTAATTTAGGACTAACCAAGTGCAAGTAAGAGTAGCCCAATAGTTTTGAATTTACAAATTGCTGGAGAGAGAAGCAGAGAGGAGAGAGTATGCAAGAGAGAGAGAGAGAGAACTGGTCATTTTTTAATTTTAGAGCATGTAGTGTTTGCGTTTTTATACTTTGAGACCCCTAACTTGTTGCAATTTTCTCTGCTCATAATTTGCAGGCATAGGGATCTGTCTTTTGGTCCCGGCGAAGTCAGGTATGTGGATCCTGCAAGTGTGCCAGCTTATAAACAACCGCCTTCAGCCATGTACCAGTGCTTAAAGCCTCCAAACTGCACATGAACACAAAGAGAGAGAGACAGAGAGAGAGAGCCTTACGGGCCATTAGAATATGGAATGACAGTGCACAAAAGAAGCATGTATGAACTATGAAGCGTGACATGAGGCCTGCGGAATCTTATTATCTATGGTCCTGCTCTGATCTTAATCTGGGCAGTCAATCTGGACCTTTAAATCAACCCTATAACATTTAGAGGCAGCTCAGTGTTGGTGATTCAAATCAGTTCATGGTCTTAAGTTATCTTGTAATCTCAAGTAGAACCTAATGTCTCTCTCAAGTAGAACCTAATGTCTCTCCCATGTGTAAACAATGATATATCATTTTTAGAGGATAAAAACCAAGTTTGGGTAAAAATAAAAGAAGAAATTTTTGTGCAGAAATTTAAAAGAACGAGGCGCAAGGTGTATTTGGATGGAAAATACAAGACCTTAAAAAGCTTTCTTACCAGTCTTAAAACATGATTTTATCTTAGATAGAACCCACCCAACAGATCTACAAGAAACTAATCCTTTGCTTCTTTACATATTGATACATTTTCATGCACAAGCTCAAGAATTTGTGTATTAATGTGTGTCAGATTTTAGACATTAATTTCGATAGTTGCCCTAATTCCAAACACCCATATTTTGTTTCTAATTAGCCCTGCATTTATTGGGATAAAAATACCCTAGCTTTTAGGTATTTTAGAACAATGTGTGGAAAGCACACATTTATTTTGTTTCCAAACGCTCATATATCAATTTTGCGGTTGATAACTACTCTAGATTTGAAGCTTTTTGGATAGAAAACAATCATGTTTTTTTCTTGAAGAATGCAATTTATGGAAAATGTTTCTATGCGTCCCCTACAGCATAGAATAATTATGCTTCTCCTACCATCCAGCCATCCAATTTTGATAAGGAGAGCCACTCGATCTTAGATCCGACATCTCAAAGTATTTTATTTTTAGTTTTTTTTTTTATACAAATTGTATGAATATGAAATTTGGTACGTACCATCTTCTCATTGGGGCACACCTATAAAAAATATTTAAAATAATTTTTCTATAAAATATAATGACCAAAATACCCCTTGAAACTTTTAGGGGTATTTTGGTCACTTTATTTTATTGAAAATATTTTTTTTTTGAGAAATTATCTTTAATATACCTTAATTTTAAGAAAATCGTGAAAAAAACCACTAACTTTCCAAAACCTTGCCCACACTTTTTTTTTCCCAAATTTCGATATTTTCTGGATGAAAATACCTTTTAAGGTAGTCTTTCTATCGTAATGCATTGCGACCATTATGGTAATTAAAATACCGTTATAAATAGAGATAGAATTACGGTATTTCTAGTACCATAATAACATGAACATTTATTACGGTACTTTAATTACCGTAATAACATAGAGTATTATGGTAATTAAAATATCGTAATATGTTAAAGTAGTATTATGGTAATTTTATTACCGTAATATTGCCCAAGCCTCATAACAAAAGATTTTCTACTATCTCGAGTCTACTATCTATTTATTCTCTCGACAAAAATCCATACTAGTTGTATTTTTCAAATCTCAAATTTTTAGTATATAATCTCTACTTAATTTTTATATGGTTCTCAAAATTTTAGAACAAAAACACTCTTAAATAAGTGTTTTTGAGTGAGAGAGTAGATCCACATCGGGCTCCCATGGGAACATAGATTTTTTGAAAAGAGAGAGGGGTCGAGCTTTTAAAGTATTACAGTAATAAGAATACTGTAAAGTCAAAAGTCTTACGGTAATAAGAATACCGTAAAGTCTTTACTGTATTCTTAATGTAATACTTTAAAAGTTTCAAACCAAAGCTAATATCAAGGCTACCCCTCTCTCTTTTAAAAAAATCCTTGTTTCCATGGGAGTATGATGTGGATTTACTCCCTCACTCAAAAACTACTATTTAATAGTGTTTTTGTTCTAAAATTTTAAGAATCATATAAAAATTTATGTAGAGATTATATCCTAAAAATTTGAGATTTGAAAAATACAGCTACTATGGATTTTTGTCGAGGGAGTAAATAGATAGTAGACTCGAAAGAGTAGAAAACCTTTTGTTATGAGGCTTGGGCAATATTACAGTAATAAAATTACCGTAATACTACTTTAAGGTATTACAGTTTTTTAATTACCGTAATACTCTATGTTATTACGGTAATTAAAGTAACGTAATAGATGTTTACGTTATTACGGTACTAGCAGTACCGTAATTCTATCTCTATTTACAACTGTATTTTAATTATCGTAATGCATTACGGTAGAAAGACTACCGTATAGGGTACTTTCATCCAGAAAATGCTGAAATTTAAGAAAAAGGGTGTGGGTGAGGTTTTGGAAAGTTGGGGGTTTTTTTTTTTATGATTTTCTTAAAATTAAGGTATATTAACGATAATTTCTTTCTTTGTTTTATATATTTTTTCCTAGTGCGAGTTTAATAGAGGATTGGATGTCCAAAATTTGGTGTCAAAATAGTTTATAGAAAAAAAATAAAATAAAATAGTGTAGAGACATGACATTGTAATTGGGACAATCTTAGCCCTCCATTCAGAATGGACGGTTGGATAAGAGGAAGTATATAAATTTTATGCTGTAGGAGATACATCGAAAGCTTGCACTCAATTTATTATAGAAAACAATCATATAAATTAATAGCGTATTATATTAGTTCATAAATTAGTTGTATGCTTATTAAAATTAAAATTACTTCAAATTATGCCTTTTTACAGGAATGATGAACAAGGTGGTGTTTTATGTAATAAATAATTTTTAGCTTCCCATGGATCCTCTATTTTCTTAAATTTTAGGAATAATCTGACTTCTTTTAAGTGCCATGTATACCTAGTTTCAATAAAAATATCAACCTTTGTATACCAATTTAATTCAAATAATAATAAAAGGTTTTTGATTTATTTTAACTTTCTAAGTGCCTTTTTTATTTCTGCTTTATCTAAAGCTAAAGTCAAACCCCGATAAGAAAATGCTATCTTTCTATCTCTCTCCATTCCATGGGCCTTTGTGCTAATGATTGATGTGTGTGTGCTCTTATGATCAAATACTGACCGTTGATTTTCGTCAATTTAACAATTTTTTTTAGATCTTTCACCTCTCCTTACAAAGTAGAAAACTCTTTTTGCATTCTAGAGTGCCAATAACTAAAGTTACATCCGTGAATCTATACAAAGGTTCTCTCGGAATAAGATATTTTTTTTTATGTTTTTGGATTCATATAACATTGGGGATTTTAAGTCCTTATACCATATAGTCCCAATAAATGAAGTTTATTTTCACATACAATGAAGTCGGGTTCTCAAATCACAAAGATTATTTTAATTTTTTATTTTCCAACAAAAAATTCAAATGACAGTCTTCATTTTAATGATTTTTGATGGATTTAAATTACAAAACTTAAAAAATAGTTTATAACTTGATTGGTTATGCATGGACTGCGGATTGGCAACAACAAAACATGAGGGTTTGAAACAAGTAGGGCAGAATGTACTCAACAATCACCTTTTGGTAATTAGTGTATTTATTTTGTACATTTGTCTTTTGTGCCGAAATTATGCACGTTTCAATAACTTTTAGTCCTCCAGTTGCGTAATAGTAATCACTTATTTCATTTCACGCTATTTTTATTGGACACCTTCATCAATGGGATTGCTTGGTCATAGTCTCTTTTTTTTTTCCGAGTCTTCATTTATTAGGGGATTACTTGGTCATTAGTCTTTGTTTTCGAGTTTCGCTTATGAATTCTCTTACCACTTCCTTTCTTTTTTTTAATTGAATGTTAATTTGGATATGGTGAGAATGAAACTCAATACGTTTTTATTTTTTATTTTTATTTGAATGTTAATTTGAATATGATGATAATGGAACTCAATACATCACGTTGCAGCACTTTAATTATACTCTGCCTACCTTTGCCTAGAATCCATTCTCAAACCTAACTTTAAACTTTAAACTTCCAATACACAAATGTTTCTGCTAATGAAATATGATTCAATTTGATGCATATATGTGGCGTTATAACTATTGAAGTTCACAAAAATAAATCCATTGGTAAATAAACCCTAACCTTATTAATTAAGGAAAAAGTTTATACAAAGTGTCAACCTCATACTGTACAGGTACGGTGCACCTAAAAAGCCACTAGGGAAGGTTGTTCCTATTTTGGAAAACCCTCAAATTATTCATCTTCACCTCAAGATTTATAGACATGAAAAAAAAGAGATTATTAATTCTAACAATATTCTTCTTCTAATACATTATTTCCATTTTTAAGATTTTCAAGTGTATAATCATCACCATCTCTGAAATTTTAAATTTTATAATTGGGGACAACAATAGACTTTCATATCATCGCAAGGCTCTGTAGCACCTAAACTGCATTTTCGGCATGGTTTTGAGGCACACCTTACTTCAATAGTATAAAGATTGACACCTTGTACAAACATCGCCCTTTAATTAATGATATGTTTCATTGGACCTATCTTCCGATCACCATTTGAAACAATGATGGGCTGGTAATGACCCCTTGGTAATTCCCAAAGCGCCTTTCGGATGGACCTAACTTTTTGAACTCCACCCTTGCCTCCATCCATTTAGGATTTCAAAATTGATCGAATAGATATACGGACTGTATAGGATCATTCCCTGGAATGGAATAAGTAATTCTTTGAAAGAATTCCAATGTACACTGCATCATGAATGGGACCAAGACTTTGTATAATAGAGAGAGAGAGTCGTCATTCATATGGAGTAAGGTAAGGGAGTGTAGAACCTACCAAACTAGGTTCAGTTGATTCTCCCTTCACAATTTTCAGTCTCAAATCCAATCTCCTGAACTCAGTTACACTTTGTGAACTATTACTAGCTCATACACCAGCACATAAGATGGACTGGTTGCAATACTACAGCTTTCCTCCCTCCACTTACGCACTTTTAATTCGCTTGGAACTCAACCAACAGGAACTCTGAAACCCTAATACCAGACCTAAAACTAGGAACACGAAGAAAATACGACTTGGTAGTACAATCTGCTCTTATACTAAAAAGCTGCTCCTATGTTCTAAGAACTGCCACTGAAATGCCTGTGACCCTCCTACAAAAAATCTGTCTTTCCTTGACTTCTAAATAATTCTCTTTAGAATTGTTTGGCCAACCAAACAGGGCAGGTCAATACAATTTACTTCCAGATTTTTCATTACAAGTTACTTTTCAGATTTTTTGGCCAAATCTAGCAGCTGTACCTGCATTATAAATCATCTATGGGAGCTACAAAGTCTTAGGACAATACAAACAAGTCTACAATTTATCAACATTAATCCCATTTTACAAAATTCAACAGTTGTACAGTACATTTTTGGGGTTTTCTGTTAAAAATATTGCCATGGATGGACCACCCTCTTGTAGGAATTGCACTGTTGAAGCTAAAGGAGCACGGAACATGGAAAAACGATCATAACATTTCTATGAACTTGACAAATTGCTCAGCATATGCAGCAAATTACAAGTTATGATCAGGACTGGGTCAATGAATTGCTTTACATGAGAAATTTTTTTACAAGACCATGGCATTTTACCACATGATATACAAATCAAAAGTTACATCCCATAGCTTCATTCTCAGCATGGCATCATCTGACTATCTCCTAGTTAAAGAACAGGACCTTCTTCCTTCTCTTCTTCTTCTCTACAGCCTGCAACAAACCATCAAATCAACATTCATTGCTTATGCCCCCCGCCCCCCTCTTCAAAAAAAAGAAAAAAAAAAACGAGACAATTCAACATGTCATTTTTCTTTATTTGATTGATTCAATATACCAATTTGATAATCTTAAATGGCTGAGCTCCTTGTTAATTACATCAAAAAACATACTTATACTTCCTTAGATTGCTCTAAATGGGGAAAGTACTGTAAAACCCAGATCTATTTACCAAGGGATCTAAAAAATGCAGTACTGTAAAACCCAGATCTATTTACCAAGGGATCTAAAAAATGCACAAACATAAAGTCATATTGTTTTGCTTATGTGAACAAGTGTTTTTCATCATGCAAGGTTGGTGTGAGGTGGCCTTCCAAGAGAGTTTCTTGACTGGAGAAGCTATTTTTTACATGCACTGTAAAATATACAGCTGTTTCAACAAAAAGTCAATGGGTAATAACATTTGTATACACTACTCGCATACATAAATGGCTAATTGAGCCCATATTTGACCATTAAGACCATTCTAGATGATACAAATACCCTTTCAAGTACTCTCTATGATTCATGCATTACTCACTAGCATGAATTCTCCGATTTTAGGATAGCAAAATCGGACATTTCATCATATCCACAAAGGACCAAAACCATCAAACCATGTCTCAAGAGTCAAGACAACATAAATCACAGTAAAATGGTATTATCACAAAGTTTTTAAGCTAATATATAACAAATTATATTCACAGTATAATTTCTAGGAACTCCACCAGAAATCATGCATGGAAAAACACAAGATATTGGAGAGAACACTACATACCTGCTTGATAAACAATCTCATGGTGAGAACAATGGTATCTCTCGATCTGTACGCAAAGAGAGAGCACAAATAAATGATTATATGTACAATATCCTTATATTTTATCCTTAAAAAAAATTACATCACGGATAAAATCTATGGCAATTGCATTCAAACCAGGGATTTACAAAGAAATTATTCTCTTAAAAGGAAAGCATATTAGTTATTGACATTCTTTCCTCCATAACCAATCCACCCCTTCTTTCTGTTCCCCCCCCCCCCTCTCTCTCTCTCTCTCTCTCTCTCTCTCTCTCTCTCTCTCTCTCTCTCTCTCTCTCTCTCTCTCTCTCTCTCTCTCTCTCTCTCTCTCTCTCTCTCTCTACTCTCTCTCTCTCTCTACGTACTACTACTCTACTCGTACGTCTACGTACGTACGTACGTACGTAC